TTCTATCTTTTATCTTTCTCCTCCTCACACACACCTTCCATTCATCTTCCCTTTCCTCCTACCCCTCCCCCCTGGCTTCCCCTCACTTCCCTCCCTTCCCACTATCATTCTCTCTCCCACACTTTCTACCCAAGAGGCAGGAGACCCAGGGGTCTGGAGGTCGAATCCAGGAGGGAGGAACGTGTGAGGGAAGATTGGGAGTTAGAGCTCACAAAAATGTAGGAAGAGTGGGGAAGGAAGCTAGCAGAGCTCGGCAGGGTAATGGAGGAGAGGACTACAAGTCTTAGCAGCAGAAGAGAAGATGAAGTGCTTAGAAGAGGAGCTAAAAAAACTGAAACAGACTAGAGAGACAAATGACAGTATAGACAAGACATCAGGAACTTCTACACCAGTCACAGACGATGGGGCTGTAGGGATTCAGGTAAAGATGAGTACAGGAAGACCAAATTAGAAGCCTGAAGACAACGAAGGAGACATGACATATGCAGAAACTCTAACAGTCAACTACAGTGGCAGGGAACAACTGGGCAGGGAACACAGTCCACTGAGCATAGGGGCTGTAGCAAGGGCAGGAGTTGAAGGCAGGAGTGTTTCGATGGAAAGAGCTAAAATACCACAGAGGATGCAAAGAAAGACACAGTGGGAGGAGGAGAAGGAGAGGTCAGTGTTTGTCTACGGGCTCCAAGAAGTCGAAGGGGAAACCTACGATGAAAGAAACCAGGGGGAGAAGAAAGCAATCAAAGGCATCACGAAAACAAAAGGTGAGGGAGACATGACCCTGGTGGCAAATTTTCGGAGAATTGGGTGGTTTGCGAGTGGAAGGAGACGGCCTGTCAAAGTAATCCTCAAGGCAGAATCAGCTCGAACCAGGGCCCTGCAGGAGAAAGCACGACTAAGGGACAAACCAGAGTACCGGAGAGTGTACCTAGATCGCGACAGAACACAGCAGGAAAGGACGATACTGAGAGAGAGGGTACAAAGACGAAAGGAGGAACGGGATGCATCGATGAAGAAAAGCAGAACCCAGACTCAGGTGGAAGGACAAATACACCCTACAGAGACACCTGCAGAAGGACTCCACCCACAACAACCCTGAAGCAACTGAGTAATCTCAACCACAACCCACACACTGTTCCCTCTGCCCCCTATGAACACTCTGCCCCCCACCACAAACTCCACCCACAAAATGACAACCCCAACGCAGCTGAACAGGCTCAACCAAAAACCACGCACTGTTCCCTCTGCCCCCACCCCCCACATCACAAACCCTACTGCTAGAGCAGCTCCCTATAGGCACTCTGCCCCCACCCCCTAACAAAAACCCCACCCACAACACAAACCCCTAGAGGCCCCCCCAGGGCTCCTGCTCCCCCAACCCCAATATTCTCCCAGGTCCACTGTGATAGACAAGAAGCTGGCGTGGTACACAAACGCAGAAGAAATAGCAAATAAATATGAGGAGTGGCATGAAAGAATCAACGAGAAGTCCCCAGACATCATAGCAGTCACAAAAACGAAACTCACTGAGACAATAACAGACGCAGTCTTCCCACCAGGATATCAGATCCTGAGGAAAGATAGAAGGAGCAGAGGAGGATGAAGGGTTGCACTGCTCATAAAAAACCGATAGAGCTTTGAGGAAATGGAAGGAATGGACGAGATTGGAGAAAGGGACTTAATATTAGGAAAAATTCAATCTGGGGACCATAAGGCATTCATTGCAGTGATGTATAACCCACTACAGAACTGCAGGAGGCCAAAAGAGGAATATGATGAGAACAACAGAGTGATGGTGGACACACTGGCTGAGGTGGCACGAAGACCTCAATCGTGCAGAGCAAAGATACGGGTTGTGGATGATTTCAACCACAGGGAGATCGATTGGGAAAACCTTGAGCCTCATGGGGGTCCCAAAACATGGAGAGCCAAGATGATGGACGTGATACTGGAAAACCTCATGCATCAACATGTCAGGGACACTACCAGAGAGAGAGGGGAGGATGAACCAGCAAGATTAGACCTTGTGTTCACCCCAAGCAGCTCAGACATTGATGACATCAAATATGAGAGGCCCCTAGGAGCTAGTGACCACGAAGTCCTGAGTTTTGATTACAGAGTAGAGTTACAGTGGAGAGGGTAACAGGAGTCGAAGGGGAAAAGCCAAACTATAAAAGTGGGGACCACACAGGTATGAGGAACTTCCTGCAGGAGGCGCAGCGGGACAGAGAAATGGTAGGAAAGTCAGTAAATGAAATGATGGAATATGTAATAATAAAATGCTAGGAGGCAGAGGAAAGGTTTGTTCCCAGGAGCAGCAGAAACAATGGGAAGACCAAAGCGAGTCCTTGGTTTACCCGAAGGTGCAAATAGGCAAAAACTAAGTGCATTAGAGAATGGAAGAGGTATAGAAGGCAAAGGACCCAGGAAAGCAAGGAGTTCAGTCGAAGAGCCAGAAGCGAATATGCACAGATAAGGAGGTAGGCCCAGTGACAGTACGAAAATGACATAGCATCGAAAGTTAAGTGTGACCCTAAATTGCTGTTTAGCTACATTAGGAGAAAGACAACAGTCAAAGACCAGATCATCAGGCTGAGGAAAGAAGGTGGGGAACTCACAAGAAACGATCAAGATGTATGCGAGGAGCTCAACACGAGATTTAAGGAAGCATTCGCAGTGGAGACAGGACAGAGGGGGACATCAACAAGTGCTGGATGATATGGACACAACTGAGGAGGAGGTGAAGAAGCTGCTAAGTGACCTTGATACCTCAAAGGCAATGGGACCGGACAACATCTCCCCGTGGGTCCTCAGGGAGGGAGCAGATATACTGTGTGAGCCATTAACCACAATCTTCAACACATCCCTTGAAACTGGGCAACTACCTGAGCTATGGAAGACTGCAAATGTAGTTCCCATTTTTAAAAAAGGAGACAGAAAAGAGGCACTAAATTACAGACCAGGGTCACTGACGCGTATAGTATGCAAAGTCATGGAGAAGATTATCAGGAAGAGAGTGGTGGAGCACCTGGAACGGAACAAGATTATGAACGACAACCAGCATGGATTCATGGAAGGCAAATCCTGTGTCACAAACCTTCTGGAGTTTTATGACAAAGTTACAGAAGTAAGACAAGAGAGAGAGGGGTGGGTTGAATGCATTTTCTTGGACTGCAAGAAGGCCTTCGACACAGTTCCTCACAAGAGACTAGTGCAGAAACTAGAGAATCAGGTGCGTATAACAGGAAGGGCACTGCAATGGATCAGAGAATACCTGACAGGGAGATAACAACGAGTCATGGTACGGGATGAGGTATCACAGTGGGCACCTTTGAAGAGCGGGATCCCACAGGGGTCGGTCCTAGGACCAGTGCTATTTTTGGTATATGTGAATGACATGATGGAAGGGATAGACTCAGAGGTGTCCCTGTTGGCAGATGATGTGAAGTTAATAAGGAGAATTAAATCAGATGAGGATCAGGCAGGACTTCAAAGAGACCTGGACAGGCTGGACAACTGGCTTCTTAAATTCAACCTTGCCAAATAGAGAGTCATCAAGATCGGAGAAGGGCAAAGAAGACCGCAGACAGAGTGTAGGCTAGGTGGCCAAAGACTGCAAACCTCGCTCAAGGAGAAAGCTCTTGAGGTGATTATAACACCGAGCAGGTCTCCGGAGGCACACATCAACCAGATAAATGCAAACCTGAGAATAACATTACGATACCTTAGTAAGGAATCGTTCAAGACATTGTACACTGTGTACATCAGGCCCACACTGGAGTATGCAGCACCAGTTTAGAACCCACACCTTGTCAAGCACTTCAAGAAATTAGAGAAAGTGCAAAGGTTTGCAACAAGGCTAGTTCCGGAGCTCATGGGTATGTCCTACGAAGAAAGGTTGAGGGAAATCGGACTGACGACACTAGAGGACAGGAAGGTCAGGGGAGACATCATAACGACATACAAAATACTGCGTGGAATAGATAAGGTGGACAGAGACAGGTTGTTACAGAGAGGGGACACAGAAACAAAGGGTGACAATTGGAAGCTGAAGACTCAGACGAGTCACAGGGTTGTTAGGAAGTATTTCTTCAGTCATAGAGTCGTCAGGAAGTGGAATAGCCTAGCAAGTGATGTAATGGAGGCAGGAACCATACATAGCTTTAAGACGAGGTATGACAAAGCTCAGGAAGCAGAGAGAGAGAGAGGACCTAGTAGCGATCAGTGAAGAGGCAGAGCCAGGAGCTGAATCTAGACCCCTGCAATCACAATTAGGTGAGTGCAATTAGGTGAGTACAAACAGTATATAGATCTCTGGCAGTGACATCTGTATACAAGCAGTACATATATCTCTAGCAGTGACATCTGTATACAAGCAGTACATAGATCTCTGGCAGTGACATCTAATCCACTGATCTCGTTTCTTTCTCTCTTTAGTTGTTTTACACAACAAATTTCATTATTTATCAGTGGATCGTCTGGTTCCGATCTTTTCTATTCTACTTTCTTTAAACTCACTTACTAGTTCTTTTCTTGGGGAATGACAGTGCTCACAGGGGCCATACAGTGCTTGGGAAAATGGGAGGCAATCAGGCTCGATCCAATGAATGGAAGGTAAGATTTAATTCCCTTAATGAATATGCTTTCACTGGCATCAAGGAATCTTCCTTGAGGGAACAATAGTTTGTAAACTTATGTTTGAGAAACCAAAATTATATTCGTAAGACTGTCGAATATGATTTTGTCAATAATTTGACATAGGCATCAAATTTATTATGTTCCTGAGGCCTGTGAGAGGTGATCTACTAAAGTTTAATTTTATCTCTTTTTTCAGAGGTTTGCACATACATTAAGCTAACTTTACTAAGGCTATATAAAAAAAATAACGAAAAGGGGGTTCATAAGCAGTGCGTTATAGTGAAGTGACTGGTTGCTGGAAAGTGTTAGTTACTAATATCATAAAAGTAGCTGAGAGTGACTGAAGTTCAAATAATTGGTTGCAGGAAAGTGTCTGGACCATATCGGTGTTATGGCCGGTGACTCTCGGGACAGTTTGGGACGAGGTCGATTCTTTCCCTTCACTCCAGTAACTCAACTTTTCAATCAAGTTCCAGACTGGTATAACGACTACGTGTACTACAAACCTGACACGGTATGTCGTCTCAAATATGTACATATGTTACATACGGTTGTACACATGCCTGACCTTCAGAAGGTGTGTATATCGTTGACATTTATGTAAATGATCGCTTTTAGCGTTTTCTTTGATCTAGTACTACTATTACTACTTCTACTACTAGTTTTACTTCTACTGATGCTACTACTACTACTACTGTTGCTACTAATACAGGAATTTCTGTAAAAACAAGATATTTAAATCTTGAAATAACCTCCCATAGAGGATTCGCGCAATCAGCTGTTATCTAAGAGGCTGCATTTATATTCTTATGCCTAAGTGGTCTAAAAAGAATGTGAAATTTGCCTAAGAGTACATATACTGTTAAGGCTTAAATAAAGCACAACAGCAACAACAACAACTACTACTACTACTAGTAGTAGTAATAGTAATAATCCAGCAACAACTACAGTGTAAGCAAAGGGTTGTGATGTAACATATTTTGGTAAAATTGAATAATGAGGAAACCTTTGATAAAAACAACTCTTCATGCTTTCTCAAGTATATGGAATATATAATATTAGTAATAATCACAGTATATGGGGCCGGAGAGGTGCTGTCGGGTCAGATCGGATGTCACCACAAGTGAGGTCTAGTGATGTCAGATTGTGGCATTTGTATTTAAAGTGTTTGTCCAAGACTATATGTACAATGGGTTCAGACAATATGCACATCCATTTGTTTTCTTTCAGGATGTTGCTGAGGTGGATAGTGACAGACTCAAGATTCACTTTTATTGTTTCCTTTGTAAATAAGATATGTGAATATTTGCTGCACTGTATAAGAACATAAGAACATAAGAAAGGAGGAACACTGCAGGAGGCCTGCTGGCCCATACTAGGCAGGTCCTTTACAATTCATCCCACTAACAAAACATTTGCCCAACCCAATTTTCAATGCCACCCAAGAAATAAGCTCAGATGTGAAAGTCCCACTCAAATCCAACCCATCCCACTCATGTACTTATCCAACCTAGATTTGAAACTACCCAAAGTCCTAGCCTCAATAACCCAACTAGGTAGACTGTTCCACTCATCAACTCCCCCTTTTTCCCAAAACCAATACTTTCCAAAGGTTCCTTTCAAAAAATCAAAACTTATCTAATTTAAACCATTACTGGGGGTTCTCTTTTGGAAAGACACCTAAAGACCTTTTTAATATCCCCTTTATTAATCCTTTTTTCCCCACTTATACACTTCGATCAGGCCCTCCCCCCCATTCTTCGTTAACAATTAAAAATTTTAATTTAAAGAGCCCCTTCAATCTTTTTTTCAAAGGAAGTTTTCTAATGCTATTATTAATTAGTCATCCACGCTGAATGTTTTTCAAAACAAATTTAAATGCCCCATTTTGTAATACGGGAACCCAAAGAACTGAGCTGCATAATCTAGGTGAGGCCTTACAATGATTTATAAAGCGGCAGTATGACCTCTGACTTCTGTTGCTTACACTTTTTTGGATATAAATCCCAGTAATCAATTTTTTTTATTACGTACGTTTAATTCAGTCTTTTTTTAAAGGGGTTCTGCCCCCCAAAACCCCCCAAAGTCCTTTTTTTCCCCCTTTGATGGCAAAATTTCACATCATTTAACTTAAAAGAAAGGGGGTTAGGGGCACCCCAAGCTTCAGAACCTTCATTTATCACTTTAACGGCATCTGCCACTTTTCTAAACCAAAATAGAGTTTTTTTTAAAAACCCCAAGTTCCATAAAAACAACTTTTTGAATCAATTATAAATTTAGGGCCTTCCAATTTTTCATTCATTCTGCATGCATATTTGCGTTTTTTAAAAGTGCAGTATCTAAATATTTTTTTTTCTTTTATAAAAAAGGGCAAATGCGGGCACCCCCGGGGGAATTTTTTTTGGGGGATTTTTAAAACCTTTTTAAAAAAAATAATTTTAACCCCCAATAATTGCAAAAACCCAAAAAACCCTCCCTTTCGAGAAAAAAATCGAACAGAAAATTTGATCCATGTTTTTACTTTTGAATAATTGTGAATTCAGTTTTAAAATGATGAATTTTAAAAAAGAGTAATTTTTTTCCCTAAGTTAAAAAAAAATTTTAAATAAATTTTGGCTCTGTTTTAAACAAATAACACTTCTGAAATATCTGGGTTTTTTGGGAGTAAAAACCCAAGACAGAATGGTATGGGGGGTGTACGTTTAAAGGGTCCTCGATCAATTTGGTTTTAGACTCGGGGTTTAAATTTTTAATTTGGGGGGAATTATTGTTTTATATTAAATCTTTAAAGTATTTGGTACTATATAAAATTTTATGAAGATCTTCAGTTCGGAAAAGGCTCAAATCATTTTTAAATTTAAACCTTACGACGTCAAAAAGCCCGTGAGATAATCTATAAGTATTGCCCGCCCTTTTTTAATCACCCCAAAAACGGGAAAACAAAATATAAAGAAAAGGGTTCACAAATTTTACACAAACTTAAAAAATTTGGTCAACTTCTTGACAAAAAAAACTTTAAGGGGAACCAAAAAGGAATAAATTTTCCCTTTTAAAGGGTAAAAAATATTTTAATTTAATCTAAAATGACCCTTTGAAGACCCCCCAAATTTACCCGAAAACAAAGCAACTATTTTCCCCAGCTTGTGATCTTTGAAGGAATTTAAATCCTCGTAATTTAACACTAAAAGTTGAAGTTCTAAGTGCCATGCCTGTGTGCCCATGATAATAAGCCAAACCTTCAAAGGTAAATTTACTACAATTACAAAAACAAAAATTTAAAGACTTCAGGCATAAATTTCTTTTTTTAAAATTTTAAAAATTCTTAAAAATTTTTATAAATACTTTTTAAAATTTTTTTCAACATCAAAAAGTAATTAACTTTGTTGCCCAACATTTTACTCCTTTGAAAGCACCAAGCCAAAATTATAACTTACTTGCAGTGTCCGCAGAACGAAAACCCAATTTCCCGCTAAATAACAAACCCCATTGCAAACCCCGAGTTTTCCCAAATAAAAATATTCTTTTAGGTACCATAGATACCTTCAAGATCCCCTGAAAAAACCTTCAGTATTTTCCCCAATTGATTTTTTAAATGAAGAAGAAAGGGATAATTTAAAATTTTTTAAAATTTAAATAAAACAAAAGTACTTCTAGGATCTTTGGGTGGGGGTATGGGGGCGAGGGTAGAAAATTTAACAGTTGGCCCCCAAAGGGTCACTTTTTAAAGGGTTTACTAAAGGGTTTTGTCACAAACTGTAATAAACATAAAAAATTTAAATTTAGGAGATTCCGCTGGGCTCAAGCAGTTTGTGGGCCCGACCAGGGCCGGGTGGGGAAAACCCTGCTGGGGGGACGGAGAAATCCCGGGAGTGTACGGGTAAAGAAAACATCTCAACTTAATTAAGGAAAAAATTTATCCCCAATCTTTTTTGTGGCGTTTCCGGGACGGGCCCCAAGAAACTGTGGCAGGATAAAATAACACAAAAAAAAAGGGGGTTAAAAAATGGGCTTACCAAAAAAAAACCGGGAAAGGTTTGGCCGGCAGAAACTCCCAAATAAAAACCCGACCCCTTCCCACTTTTACAAATAAAATTTCCCGTCACAGGGGGGCGTTTTTTTGACAGTCCCTTCCCCACAAAATCTTATTGCTTTTTCCCAAATTTAAATTTTATTTTAAAAATCAAAAAAAATTTTGAAATGGGGAAAAAAAAAATGAAGGAAAAAGCTTCCCATTACTCAAAACCCAAACTTTTTAAAAAAACTTCTACGGAAATTGCATAAATCCAAACTAAAAAACCCTTTAAAAACGTTTTTAAGAAATATTTTTTGATAAAGGTCAAAGGTCCAGCCCCTAAACGAGTTAGGGGAACTGTACATTTAAAACCCCACAAGCAAGAAATGAAAACGTCAGAAGTTAAAAAAAAAACCACGGGGGGGGAAATTGAACTTGGGGCGAGTGATCGGGGCCCTGGTTTTGTTTTGCAATCGTGCCTTTAAACATTTCGTGAGTCATCAAAATGTTCCAAGCCAGAACCAGAGTTGGGGGCCCCCTTTCGCTATAAAAAAGTAAAAATAATAAAAATTTAATAAAAATTAATAAAAAATTTTAATAAAAAATAATAATAAAAAATATTAATAAATTTTTTCAAGTAAAATTATACAAGGTAAAAAAAGGCCTAGGCGACATCATGACATACTACTAATAAAAGCCCGCTTTTTTAACAGTTTTCTGGAAAAATTAAAGGTCATTTTTTGACCCCCAGGATGAGACCCAAAAACATACACTAACACCCAGGTACCCATTTTCCCATTGATGGGTGAACAAGGAAAACGGGTGTTTATGGAAACACGCCCCTTATAAATTTTCCCCCAACCCATCCCCAACCCCAAAATTCGAAAACCCCGGGACCGGGGGGTGTTAGCTGAGTGCGGGTAGCGATCGAGCGGGGGACACCTAGGTAGAGAAAGGCCCCTTGTTAGGGCTTCACTTTGATGAAAAATAAGCCCCCGCAGGGAAAGGCCCCCGGGTCATCAAGGCTTAAAAGTAATCCCTTCCCCAACCCCAAGCCTCAAAAACCATTTTTGGAATAATCCTGGAAAACAGCGGAAATGGGAGCAAAAAAAAAATTTAAAATCTTTTTTCCAATAGGGGAAAAAATTTTAAATTTTTTTCTTGGGGCGGGTAAGGGGGGGGGTTAAAAGTGGGACCATAATATCAGAAATCATTTCAAATTTTCCTGAAAAAATCATATCTTTCCAAGAAATTTTTTGGGGTTTAAAGGGGGGGGAAATTTGGGCAAATACCAATACCAAAAAATTTTGAGGGGTTTTGGGGTGCCATTTTTTCCTTTCCCAACTTTTTTTTTTAAACACTTCAGCCGTTTCCCGCCAAGGCGGGGTGACCCAAAAAAAAACCCTTTCGCATCATTTTCGTTCCCCACCGGGTCTTCCCAAAGTCACACTCCCTCCCAGTTTAAAACTCAACATTAACCCCCAGTCCTTAAAGTTGAAAGG